AATATTAATATTTGGTTTTTATTATAGAACATAAAAGCAAAAAAAAAAAATTCTGATTTTTTTTTTTATCAAATGATTTATTATTGTATGAAAATTAAGTTTCAACTGAAAGTTAATAATTAAATTATAAAGTTTAATTTTTTTAAATGGACATCAAATATGATAAGAATATGGTAAGGTTTGAAATAAATATTTTTGTTGGACTTTAAACTTGTAATATGAAATATATTTGAAATTTCGGCTTTTTGATGTCGCTTTACTTCACAATTTCAGGCATCCTCCAATGAATGGCTGTTATAAGGGATCGGATAGAATTTATTATAGAAACATGAATTTGATTAGTCGATTTATTTTGTGAATAAGGAAAAATATTATGGTTTCCATCATGACTAAATATAAAATTGAAAAGTCTCTCAAAACAAAATATATAATTGAAAATAATAGTATTGGAGTTTGAAGTTTGGAATTTGGAATTTTCCTTTTTTAATTATTGTGAGGTGAAAATAGGTGGAAGAGTTTTTTAGGTGACTCTTTCTTATGCAAAATTTAATTGATGGACAACAGAAAGTCAGATAAGTAGAGGCTAAAATCTAAACATTCATAAAGAAGCTATGTCACATATTAAAATTTAGTGATATATATTGGCTAACGCTAGGGAGGAAGAAAGGGTGTTCTTACACAAAATATTATCAAGGTATCATGGGAATTCAAACTTGATATCACTGATTTGTATGTCAAGATCCTTTTATAATAGGCTAGACCTCATCGACTTTGTTAAGTAAGTTTTGATTTCAATGATCCAATAATTATTAATTAAAAATAAATTTTTTTATAAAAAAAACATCTAACTACCATAAAAGCTACTAGTTGTAAAATAATAGTCCTCCAGAAATATGTTGATGTCAAAACATGATCACTTCAATGGGGTCGTTTAAAATGAGAAATTCATATTTTAGTTGGTTGAGATAGACACTTCATATCAAACTCTTGAGGTGCGAGCTCTTCGTTTCCATGTTGTTTTGCTATTGGTTAATTGTGTTTATGCTTGTTATTGAGGGTAGTATTTTGCATAATGATATATTATCTTTTGAGTTTCTTCGTTCATTAACAATTTATTTTGAGTTGTAGGATATAATTCTATCATACATTATTTCGTTTGCACAAATGTAAAATACCCTAACAATGTCCTATCAAATTCAACTGCACATACCCAAGCATATAACTTGGAATATTTTGAGATTAAATGAGTTCAATGAAATACATTTATGATCTCACAAACTGGAACATTAATTTTCAAATCTTTTTTTTTTTTTTTTTTGGTCTGAACCACGAGGTGGTCCTGGATGGGCTCAACCCAGACTAATCCCCGTTCACACCGGGTCGGCCCGTAAGGAGTAAAGTGCTGGCCAAAGTGGTGACTCCATACGAGAGCAGGGATCGAACCCCTGACCTCTCTTAAGGAATGAGAGCGCCGAACCACTCACACCAACCACCTTGGAACATTAATTTTCAAATCTTTCACTACACACTAACATATGAGAATTTAGAGATAGTTAACTAATACATATGTGTTGGTGGTATAGTTTGGTTGGTTGAACTCTTTCACTTTCATTTCATCCATGTGGGTAGAATTTTAAAACCCCAAGCAGCCAATGAATATTTGTGTAAACTCCCTCTCTCCCAATCGCTTGTACTAAAAAAGAAAACTAATACACATGTGTTGCATGTGGACAAAAGGTGGATTGATTCTCAGATTGTGGAGAAATCTTAATATCCATATTGTAATCATATTTTCAAATTCATTGTTATAAAGAAATGTTTTCTTATCCTTTCTTTTGGGTAAAAAAAATGTTTTCTTATTCTTGGACTGCAATTTTTTCGATCATGTCGATGCACATGCATGGAATGGTCATACAAGACCAAGCCATATATAATATAGTTGAATTAATTGTATCAAACAGTTGCAAATTTGGAATTGGCTTTCAAGGGCGGATGCGTTGGGCAAAAACATGCATTTGACAGTAAAAGAGACTTCTGGGGTTCTCTCAATATATTTTATAGTGCTGCTATTTTTACTTTTTATTTATTTTTTCACTTATTTTATATTTTCATTTATTATGTAAATTTGGAAAAAAAAAATATAATTATTATCTTTTCACCCATCATTACTTTTAAAATACCCTTTAATTATTAATTCAACCAAAGTAGGTAACTTTAACTTCAAGACACATTTTTTCTGCGAAATGTATGCCATGTGTGCAAGAAAACAAATAATAAAAACCTAATTTAACTATTAAAATGAGATCTTGAAAAGAAAAAAAAAATTTCAATCTCCTATCTCCACTGCCCAGTTGCCATCATCGACCCCTTCCCTGCACCACTGCAAACTCTCACAAACCCACCACCCTCACAGCCCACTTTCCCCTATCCACATCACCCCCTCACCCAAAAGTCCAATGCTCCTCTGGATCGTTAATTGTTGCATTGTCTATGTTGATGCCTAAAATCGGGCTCCAACTTAGATAGATGAAATGTGGAGTCTTCAGCAAGACAAGAGGGTTATGGACCTTCGGCAAGGAGAGGCCTTTGATCATAAAGCGTGGGATATGCAGTGATTTTAGCAAAGTAACAGTAAAGGTGAAAACTAGTCACCTTTTTTATTTTGGCACTATTCCTCTTTTATTGAGAAATGACAGTAAGAGTTTGCACAAAGTTTCAATGTGGGACTTTGTGTGAATCATTGTGGTGGCCACATGTGTCCAACGTTTTATGTTATATAGTTGGGAGCTTTGGCAATTGTCTTGGGTAGGCAATTACCACTTCAAAGGGAGTTATTCCTTTGGCAGGTTAAGAAGAGGATGATGTCATCAATGTTTTTAGGGATTACCCTAAAAGTGTCTTTCCTTTGGCAGTCGATGTGCTTGTCAATGCGCCAGTCCCCCAGTGTCGAATGTGCTCAGTTGATTAAGGTGCAAACAGTCTATGCAACCAATCCAATACCCCACTATCATCCATGCCCGTCTTAATACCACTACAATCCATTCCCTCACCATGAGCCCAACAATATTGTATGAAATGGGGCAACAGAGAGTGAATAAAGAGATCCATAAAAGTGGGGGGTTTTTTTTTTCTTTTAATTCATTTGAGCTTTCAACCAAATAATATGTTTGGGTTTTGGGTTAGGTAGCACAAATCAAACACAGAGAGTGATGAGAGACAGAGAGGAATAAAGAGAGCAAATTGGGTTTTTCCTTTTGTTTGTTTTTGTACAAACTTTTGATTGCCAGTTTGTGTGGACCTGCAATGGTTCTAGGAGGAAATGGAAATAAAGTAGAGGTCGGGGAAGGGGGTTAGTGGTGGTTGGGCAATGGGGAGAGAAAGAGAATGAGTTTTAAAATAAATAAATATATTCTTAGGAGTGAAGTTTTTTCCTTAAGTCCTTAGAAGTCATTTTACAAAACAGTAAATTTGTCGTTAAAATTTTAAAAATAAAGTGGGTGGAGAAATAGGATATGGGAAGCACTCTATATTAATAAGAAAGCGATTAATGTATGGAAAAAACAATTAGGGACTGGTTAGTGGCCCTCTTTGTGATCTTACCATTAGAAAACCTGGAACGACCCTAAATTTTGTGCCATACTCACAGTAATTATAATATGTTTCGACATATTTCATAATATCCTCAATTTTTGTTTAGTTGCTATTATGAATTTTGGATAAGATTCACTTATTTTTATATGAAAAGATTATTAGGTCATCAATCTTGTCTACCTCATAGAAATATCTCAAATTTTATTTTATATAATCTTCATAAATATGTATATCTTGCCAAAAACTTAGTAACTTGTGTAATTCCTAATTTTAAAAGGTTAGAATAAAACTAATAAAATTTTACCTATTAGCTCTAAGTTTAATGGTAATTTTCCCCATAATATTAATTAAAGCCACAAGTTTTTATTTATTTTTAGAACAAGCAGAATTTCATTAATAAAGGGGTAAATACAAGAGATGTACAAGAAGAACACACCCCAAATAAAAGTTCTTGCATACAATGAAGCAGAAAAAATAAATCCAACAAGACAGTGAATAATAACTATCACAAATTCAAGTCCAACTCACTCAGAGTTGACATATAGAGGATCAAGAAAACTCTTTACAACATTAGTGCTACAGAGAGACCATGAGAACAACTAATTTTGTATGAATAGAGAACCATAAGCACTAAAAGTGAAAGGGCCTTACCGCTCAACATCCACTTGGCCAAAGAAGGCCACAACACCTCCAACATCCCACATGATCTCACAACACCCAGTATGAAAGATCCATCTAAATATAACAACTCTACCTCCTCAACATAAAAGATTTTAAAAGTTAGTCCAAAAGGACTGGGGATAAACCAAACCGAGCACAAAACTGGGGAGAATCAAAACCCAACATAAAACTAGGGATTAAAATCTCTCTACAACATGACGGGGGAGTGAGTTGCCCGGTTTATTTGTCGAAGAAGTTGGTTCCGTAGGGGTTTGCAAAGAAGAGAGACCCAAAAAAAGGAGAAAAAAGAAGAAGGGTGCCAAATGTAGTTTAAATTGGTGTGATTGAAGTCACAAGTTCGACTCCCTTAACTCCATTAAAAAGAAAAACATAACAATCAATTAGTGGTACTTTCTCAATTCATGACTACTATCTTTATTAATCAAAAGTGTTAAGTTTGAACTTGGGACCTAAGTCTAAGATTGGTGAGAAAAATGTCACTAAATCATGAACTAATTGATATGACCCCACCAAATTCCAAGTAAGCAAACGTGTCATAAGGAATGGGCTTGTTGGGCAGCCGAAGATCCCAAATCATGATTGTACCTTTAACAAGTTTGAAACAAAAGATTTGCCAAATTAAGGAAAAAGGTTCTGAAGGCTCAGTCCAGAAAAGGATTGGGCTTGCCGGGCAGCCAAACACCCCCAAATGATGACTATATAATAATAAAAAGCAGAGAGAGCAGAGAGGATGCCACAATTGTCAAAAATTGTTGTCACAGAGAGGCAGCGTGGAGCTTCACTGTGAAGTAGTGAGCTTCAACTTCAACGATCACAAAAGAAACCAGACTAGTGAGCTTCGTAGAAGCACTAGAATCATAAAAAGACGATAAATTTGAATCTGATTTCTAACATGACCTTCGGAGCGTCACGCATGTCAGCTCGATCCTTTAAGCTTTTCACACATTTGCCTTCCATGCAAGCCCCTTCTCTCCTCTCTCGCCAGGTAACCCCCCATCCGTCTGTCATTTGTCTCTGTATATGTGTATTTATATCGCCCAAGAGCTCAAAGAGTCTCAAATTTCAGTTCTGTAGCAGTAAGCAGTTGTAAGTATTTGCCTTTCTCTCTCTCTCTCTCTCTCTCTCTGTGTCTGTATGTGAAGATCATGAATGAATATGTATATGCTTGGTTTGATTGTAAATGTTGATGAAAAGATGAAGTTTTGAATTTGAGGTGGTTGATTGAAAATCAAGAGTCAATGTTGCACAAGAAATATTGTTCTGTTTGTTGAATTTCTGAATTTCATTCAAAATAGTCATGAGTTTTAGTTTTAAAGCCTGCCTTAGATTGTTTTGTTTGTCATCGAGATGGGTCTGTGTGATATATTGGGTTTGATTGAATATGGTTGTTGCTAATGTTTGGGATGTTGAAGGAGCTCTCCAGTTTATATTGGAACCACAAAATGCTAATATGCATCCCTTGCATTTTCGACTGTGTGCTCAGACATGCATAGATATATAAAAATCAGTGCATAGAAATATCAATAGAAGGACTGATGCATACATGGTGATATCAAATGTTGTTATAGTCCTGACATGGGCAGAGGTTTAATATCTAATTTTTTTTCTTCTCCATTCCTTCAAAATTTTGTATATAAAAGCATTATTTGTTGTTGCAAATGAGATTGTTTTTTCTACTCTAGTACTTTTGTTTAATTATGTTTGGGTTTCTCTTCTTAATACTCAATAATGGTACATGTTGAACTCGTGTTATTCTACAATTTATTTTTAGAATTTTCTATCTTAAAGTAGTATTTATCAATATGTTAATGTTTGAATGGGGGATTCTTTGTCAGATTAGCATGGATGTAAAAAGTTTTGCTTCTCGGCTTAGTAGTTCTGGCCTATTACGTAGCCAGGGCCTTATCGGAGGGAAATGGTCTGATGCATATGATGGGAAAACCATACAGGTATGAGCTAGGAACCTCTTCGTTTCCTCTGATACCTATGCCTTTGGATGATCTTTACATTAAATCTATAAATGTTATCTGGTTCTGAATATTGCTGGTTTCATGCCTCATTTTCTTTTGATTACATGTTGTTTGTTTGAGATAGGAGCACCTACTTATGACCATACTTAATTAAATATTAGTTCTGTTGGGTCCACCTACCAACCTTCACACTGCATCTTTCGTTCCTCTCCTCGATGTTTTCAGAAACCACTTCTAATTCATATCATGGCAGGTTCACAATCCAGCAACTGGCGAAGTAATAACAACTGTCCCATGCATGGGTCAAAAGGAGACAAATGATGCAATATCTTCAGCCTATGGTGCATTTAATTGTATGGGAACTGATCCACATTGTGAATTTGTAATTACGTTAGACAGTTGAAGAAATTTATCTACAGCATTTAGCATACTTCCATAAACTGAGCTAATCGTGCTTATGCGTTTATTATCTTGCAAATATAGATGACATCTGTTTAACATAGCCTGAGGTTGTAAAAAATTCTTTTACTATTTAAGTATCTGAACTTATTATCCTGTGTATAGCTTGGAGCAAGCTCACTGCTGCTGAAAGGAGCAAATGTCTAAGGAAATGGTATAATTGCTGTCCTGTGATTCTATATCTGGTTTTGTAAAAAATTTCATTTGTTCTTGATATTTATATTCCTTCCCATCTCTCAAGGTATGATCTACTAATTTCCCACAAAGAAGAGCTTGGACAACTCATTACCTTGGAGCAAGGGAAACCTCTAAAAGAAGCCATTGGTGAGGTATCCTATTTCAGACTTCTGTTTAAGGGATTTAAGCAATTAGCTGTAGCTTTGCATCTTACTTTCATCATGTGATTCAAATTTCAAACTCATATTACAGGTGAGTTACGGGGCTGGGTTTATTGAGTTGTATGCTGAGGAGGCAAAACGTGTATATGGTGATATCATACCACCAACTCTTTCTGATCGACGGTTGTTTGTTTTGAAGCAGGTGAACTTATATGTTTCTTTGAATTTTGTATGGCCTATATAATTACTCCAAATGACAACTAGTTCATCCGGTAGCCAAATGTTGAGAATATATTTTTGAGTAGTTTGTCAAATAAATCTGAAAGAAAAAAGAAAAGAAAAGGAAAAGCACGAAGGTACATTTGCTGGCCAAACATACAAGTACAATAGTACAAAACTGTTCAATATCCCTCTAATGCGCAACTGCAGGGTTTCTAAGTGCTACTATGAATCTTTGGCATAAAAATACAAAAAATGATATTTGGCCTTCTTTTGGGGTGGAGGGCAGGGCACGGGATTTACTTCTGTTTCTATTCTTTGATGTCTTATTAAATTTTCTTTTGCAGCCTGTTGGTGTTGTTGGTGCAGTTACTCCCTGGAACTTCCCGTTGGCTATGATTACCCGCAAGGTATTTTTATGATATTTTAATGGTGCTGAATTTGTTAAGTAGAAGAACTCCGACCTTTTTAGCGCATGACTGTCATTCACAAAATCTCCTGTTCTGCTCCACACTTGTTTCAGGTTGGTCCTGCTCTTGCATGTGGCTGTACAGTGGTCATAAAACCCTCTGAACTTACACCCCTCACAGCTTTAGCAGCAGCTGAGCTGTCCCTTCAAGCTGGAATACCACCGGTAATATTTCTTATATGTTTGCACACACACACAAGCACACTTCTTGTTTAGTATAATGCACGTTGTTTTTCATTTGGCCTTGCAGTTGTGGATAATATTACCCTCAAGCTTGACATATAATATAGATTGTCATATGTCAGCTCTGTGCTGGAAATGAATGTCTTAATTTATTGCTTAGTGCTACAAGTATTTGTGTGCTGGTGATTAGAGTTGTATGAATGGTGCATGTAACAAATGTCTGCGCTGTTTGCTTTAGAGTTGGAGATATAACAAATTTGAGCATGTAAATGTACTTACAAAGCTTTAAGTGTTCATGCTTTGATAATATAATACAAATTCGTAAAGACTTTTGCCATTATGGCCAGAAAGTGTGCTTTTTTTCTTCACTCTTCTAAAGATAATGAATAGTTGAGACCAAATATCCTTTTGGAGATTCAATCTCAATTGCTTTATAGTTTTCTATTTCACGATGTTGAATATTGACCATTTTTCTTCTTAGAAAGAACAATCCTGATGCACAAGGAGACATGTCATGTAATAGCTACTTGCTGATTTTACATATTCTCTAAAGAGCATCGCATTCCTAAACTTTTTGTTGCTTCAGTCATCACAACTTTTACTGCCTCTTCTGTTTCTAATGGTGTTTACCATTTCTGATATAGGGTGTGGTGAACGTGGTTATGGGAAATGCTTCAGCAATTGGGGATGCTTTACTTGCAAGTTCGCAGGTTTTATAATTCATACATAATGCGGTCCTTTCTCTGTGGGACACCATAATTCAATTTTCTTTTGGAGGTATATAGCTATAGAAAATATAAAACATTAACCATTCTTGATTGATATAACTTATTCAGGTAAGAAAGATCACTTTCACAGGCTCAACAGCAGTTGGAAAGAAGCTGATGGCTGGTGCAGCTGCGACTGTCAAAAAGGTAAATATATAGGCTAAATGATAAGTGTATATGCTAAATAGTGAGGTTTGAGGAATCATCATGTGGTTAATTGCTATTGTTTCTTGATTACGTTAGGTATCTCTTGAGCTTGGTGGCAATGCACCCTGCATAGTCTTTGACGATGCAGACCTGGATGTGGCGGTAAAAGGAACTGTAAGTAAAACTGTTGCTTTCATATTAGATATGTTCTTATTTATTTGACTATTGCACCTTGTTTAATTATTTCTGTTTGATAGTTGAATTCAAAGAATCTTTTCTTCTGTTACATTCATTGGCTGAACCATCAAGTGTGCAATTTGTTTTGTAGCTTGCAGCAAAGTTTCGTAATACTGGACAGACATGTGTTTGTGCAAATAGGATTCTTGTACAAGAAGGTATGATGGAAACACATTCAATTAATAAGTTACAAACTTATGCTTGACTGTTTGAAACCATATTGCTATTCAGTCTGTATTAATATCTAGTTAAGATAATGCTCCCCTGTGTAGAGATGCTGAGACTACACGTTGATGTATGCTTCCATAAACATTGGAAGCTTTTGTGGCTGTTTGCTCATTAAGCAGCAGCTACTTTCCAGTGGCAAGTATAAGATTTCATAAAATTCCTTGTTACAAGAATCCTTTAAACACCAAATTTTGTGAATTGGAAGGATATCCTGTATTTTTTCAAGGACTTCAGATGGTGAACAATCGTTATCGCCAATAAAATAGACAATGAGACATGGCTCAATGATTTTCTGTATATATATATATATTAAAGAGCTATAATATGCAATAACTAAGAGGGGAATATTAATTTTACTGAAGTAATGGTACATGGGAATAGTGAAGGCGTTCATTTTTTAAATTAAAGATTTTTGTCAGTAAGAATTGTTTTCCAAGAGCTCCAACCTTTCCTATTGATATACTAGCCTTTTTTGTCATATCGAAAAATAAGATTATGTATGCAGACTGGAGTGGGTAGCTTTGACGTTAGTGCTAGATTCTGATTATATTACTTAAGGCTCTCATGCTTGTGTACACAAAACCAGCTTTTGACTATAATTTCTGATCTGATTTTGGTTTCTTGCTCAGTTTCTTATGCATTAAGACTCCAAAGGGATAATGCTGATTTCTAAGTAGATTGTTATTTGTTCAGGTATCTATGATAAATTTAGGGATGCTTTTGCTAAAGCTGTTCAGAATATGCAGGTTGGGAATGGCTTTAGTGAAGGTGTGGCCCAGGTAGTCTCTTTCATGCATTTGCTGTCATTTCTTTTTAGGTGGTTTTTGATTTCCAGGGAATACGCTTGGAGTCACCCCTATATAGCCATAAATTACATCGTATAGGTTGACTATTGATATTTTCTATATTATCTGACCTGAAAATGATAATCTGAAGACAAAGCCTTCCCATGGATAATAAAATTCAACCAGAAGTTACTCAAGCTTTAAAATCATAGTCTAACGTATTGTTTTCATTTCATTGCAGGGTCCACTAATCAATGAAGCAGCAGTACAAAAGGTTTGCTTTTCTATTCACATATGTAATTCCATTATGTCTGTGCTCCCCCCTTCACTTTACTGATATCTGTATGTCACTTTGGGAATTCACATCACAGGTTGAATCATTTATTCAAGATGCTATATCAAAGGTTGGTTTTCTGCATTTTCTATTGATTCAGTTGCTATGTAGGTGGTGTCATAAGAATATTTAACTTGACCTTGAAAAACAAATGTAGAAGTTTGACTTTGTTGCTACTTTCCTGTTGATTGGAACTAAGATATGTTGGATCAAACTATATCTGCCTTTTGATCTTCCTCATTGCTGTTATGTTACTTTTCCACATTTATTCAACATTACTTGAGCTTGAGGGCATAAAATGAATGAACCTTTTCTTTGAAACTATTATTATTATTTTAATGAGAAACAATGACCTTCGATTCTTTACTAATTAATCTTTTGAAGGGAGCAAAAGTTGTTCTTGGGGCCAAAAGGCATAGCCTTGGAATGACCTTTTATGAGCCTACAGTTCTCAGTGATGTCAAGAATGATATGCTAATAGCAAGGTAAACACTTAGATAAAATTTTGCTTTATTTTAGACATATTTAAATGACATAACCAAATTATTGGTTGATTTGATTATTTGAATTAATGAACCGTGACACTCATTATTGTGGGTGACATGATCACAAGGGTGGTTAGCTTCTACTTATTACTTTCTTTATGACTTCTTTTGGGTCTGCAAAATTTTGCCTAGTTGTGCTCAACAACTTTTGCCTCCTGTTCTGTTGAGTAGATTATTACCTGTGCACTGAAAACATTGTCTTGGCTCAGAGAGGAAGTATTTGGGCCTGTCGCACCCCTTTTGCGTTTCAAAACTGAGGATGAGGCTATCCGAATTGCTAATGACACCAATGCAGGTTCTTTTTTGAGTATCTGTTCATATTTTGATACGTCCATTAGGACCTTAAGGAAAATGGTGATATTTCCATTTAAAATGCTGTTTTGCTACTCATCAGCAAATTCTCCTGCATGCATATACAGGGTTAGCTTCTTACATATTTACAAATAATGTTCAACGTTCATGGCGTGTCTCTGAAGCTCTTGAATATGGACTTGTCGGTGTCAATGAAGGCTTAATTTCAACAGAGGTGGGTCCCACACTGCATCCACCAGCAGTTTCATTTTTAAATAACATATTGGTGTATTCATGATTATCTGTATGAATGAAGGTGGCTCCCTTTGGAGGTGTCAAACAGTCTGGTCTTGGAAGGGAAGGTTCCAAGTATGGGATGGATGAATATTTGGAAGTAAGTGCACCAGAGATCCCTTTTACTATGCTTAACAAAAGAAACCCAAATGGCATGCATCAGTAGTTCAAATGTTGTAGAATGGCCATTATCACTTGTTTACTCTGAATGTTTTGTCAATTTAGAAAGGAAAAAAAAAAACAAAGAATCTAATACAATCTAGAAAATATGATGTTGGCATGGATATGCACGTTTACACAAATGCACTTGCATGTGTGCAGCTAGAAATCTATATACTTGTGCTGGTCTGTATACTCTTTTCCCTTCACTTAGTCATTTCTTTGATCCTGAATTAATCAAAAACTTGTGTGCTATCCCTGCCATATTGTTTCAGAAGTCGAAAATTCTATCTTGTGGGCAAGTTACATAGGCATACTTCTTAGTTCTACGCGTAATATTAAGGCAATTCTAAATACTGTGTTGCAGGTTAAATACGTGTGCCTGGGGAATATGAGCAGTAACTGATGTGCTTGGTTTCGTGCTGGATCCTTGCCAATCTTAAAACGAAAGTTGGAAATATCTGATGTATCTTTTGCTTCAAAAATGATAAATGTGTTGCATTGGAAAAAAATAAGTGTTTAGTTTTGAGGTAGTTCTGCGAGAACAGAAAAATAAGTCTCTTTTGTATTAAGTTTTGATGTAATTTTGCAGAACAGAAATAACATTTAGTTTTGATGTTTCTATTATAATTGTTCCTCTTTTTTTTCTTTTTTTTTTTGCTAATAATGTTTCTGTACTAATTGAAATCCATGGTAAGTTACAAAAGCGCAATGCCCAAGTAAGGGTGATTTAAGCAGACTTGTTGGAAAATTGGGGTGGGCTTTCAATTAATCAGAACCTTAAGGTTGGTTTTTTGTTGATGGAAAGCAGAACCTTGAGGTTTAGAATGGAAGCAAGGGGTTAGATTTCTTCTGGTCCAAGTCCAAACTCCATAGGTGTTGCTAACTTGCTATAGGGTGTAGGGTGTAGTGATCAAATGTCTGGGTGTATAAGCAACACTCTTTGAAGGAATATGCCCAATGTTTGGTACGGACTACAGATTGAGCTCACCCAGCTCGAGGCTGGACTGAAGTTCTACACCAAATCAATTGTATTGGGCTAGCTAATCCAAATTCCACAAGAATCAAACTTTTCAGTCGCCGTTTTTTGTGTCTATTTTTTCTTCACTTAGCAAAAGATAGTAGATGTCAAGAAAAGCATGCGAGTCTAGGTCAGCCTGTCTGTTTTCTGAAGTGATTTAGTTTGTGGAAATTAATTTAATATATCCTCTGAAAAAGATGTGAATATGACAATGGAATGTCATATATTCCCCAATGTTATATATGCTTTCAAGATCAAGTATGTTTTCTTTTCTCATCCATCATCTGCACCATCTCTACTTAAAACAAAATTCATTAATTTTTTCTCTTTTGTCAACTAAATCATTAAGTCCTGTATTCGAATCCCCCTTCAATATCGCTTGTATAAAAAAAATCATTGAGTGAGTTCGAGTTGCTACATCGACATGGGGTGATGGTGATGATGCACCATGCATGCATGCGTGCTGTCCAATCCTTCTTGGGAACTCGATAGAAAAGCGGGAAGCTTTGTAAAGTATTCAAATTGTACATAAAGTAGGGTCCCACAAATTCACCTTCAAGGAATATATTCATTTTAAAGAATAATTCTCTATAGATCACATAAGGATGCTTGAAATTGAAGCAAACATGGCCTTAACACTAAGCCAACCCACTTTTCCACTGGGTTTCGGCTTTGAAGTTCCCATTATTACCAACTAAAAGTTAAATCCCAACTTTGCTTGATTATAATTATAAAAGGTCCAGCCAATTTTGTGCCAATTGTCTAAAAGAAGCATCTCCAATTCTAAATGCAAAGCTTTGTTTCCTCACACATTTGGATAGGAGTCCAGGAGAGGTGCCAAATTATAAAGCATTTTCGTTTACATGCAAAGGGTGGTGGGGGAGGGTCAAAATCTAGGAAAGAACCCCCAAAAATCAATCTATGCTGCAATGTTTTGATTTCCTACCTGGCTTGCATGCATAGGTTTTGATTTGAACAATTTGGTAGGACCTGGTCAACATCTTTTACTCGGTAGGACCAAATCATACATATACAACAAGATGGGACGGTCGTAAATTGTTCTATATCTTAAAATAATGAGCTTTGTGTAACTCATGGTGTTCTAGATTTTTGGGAGAAGAATCTTCCTTTGATTGTCAAAGAAGAAAGCATTGATTCCCAACTGAGATTGGGGCAAATACTAAATCGTAGGAATTTTTTTTACAACAAAAGTAAATTGTATATATTACTTATGTAGAGTGATATATATGTACGATTATACAAGAGATTGCTTCTTTTTTCATTTCTGAAAAACTCTCGTCTATAAAATTTGAATTCTAAATCTCTAACGTTTATTTTTCCTTTTAATTTTCTCGGGTCCAAGGCTCAAATTGTTGTTATACTGTTTCTAATTTTACATCCTTTATTAGTAGAGTGTGAGTGGGGCCTTGAGGCAACTTATTGGGTTGACCTTACTTGAGTTGTTTTGTTTGTTGTGATTTGGATTGGAGAGGAAATGCATGGCACTGGCAGAGCAGTCTTCATCTTCAATTCCAGGAAAGTGAGATAAGGGATTGAGGCCCAGCAGCAAAGCTTTAGAAGGACTAAGGCTAAGGTCCCCTACCCTCCTGTCATCAAAAGCTCCACATTACAATACTCTTTTATGCATTGATGTTCACGTCCTCATATATTACCAACCACAGACCCCTAAAGTTTTTGGTTCCATATTTTGTTGTTTTTTAGTGCTTTCTCTTCCACGATAGAAAATCACATTCATATTGTTAATCTTCAATTTTCTTAAATCGTATTATGAGATCTAATTAGAATTGAATGATATAGAAACAAAGTTCTTGTAATCATATGCCTCAAAAGCTTGATACAATGATCTCTACACCATTCAAGTAATGACAGATTCAGAATCTTCCAAAAAGACAGAGGCTAATTAAAATTGTAATCATATATTTAATTTAAAAAAACCTACTTCTAATTAAGCACTCATTGAATGAAATCTAGGAGCAAGAAAAAGTGTAAAAAAAAACTAGAAAAATAATACAAACATATGACACATATGACAACGGCAATGATCATTAGTCCCTTCATCAGAAATTTTGCTGTCATTGAAACCTTTTTGTTGGTAATGACATAAAGGATACATTAATCTTTGTGTTCTAAACACCATGCTTGATAGGTTACTGGTTCAAAGGATGTGTGGCCAGGATTCTATATATATATATATGTGTGTGTGCGCGCGCGGGTGCTTAGATATATAATTAATGACTGGGAGGGCAACATGCAGGGTTTATATGTATATATACACGGTTCAGAAAAAAGAAGGGTAAAGGTACAACATACTGCCCATCATCATTGCCATGAGGGGTCTCACTCTCACTCATATCTTAATGCGAAAAATAAAGCTTCACATGCTAACAGAATATATAACACCACAAAGATCTCCTCTTTTGGAGATATAACAAAAGATACACATACCACTCTCAGAAAAACCACTCAAATTAATACACTCTAATTCACATTATACTATGATCATTCCGGCATAAGTATATTTAGCGTAGAATTACTGTATAGAGAGAGAGAGAGAGAGAGAGAGAGAGAGAGAGAGAGAGAGTATCTTTTGGCAAAGGAAGGCCAGCACATTGTAGAATAGGTGTGCTTTAATTTTCTTTGTTCTTTTTTTATATTATTATTTTTTCTTTTATACTACAAGGTTAGCTTGTCCCCCTTGCTTTCTTTCTAGTACTTGAGAGAAACCAAAGGCAGCCCACCTCCTCTTCTTCAAAAACGCACCCTATTCTTCCCTATTTGCATCGCATTTGTTCTTGAATCTCTCGGTATTCCCAGAGCCCCCAGCTCTGAGAGAGAAAGAAAGAAAGAGAGAGAGAAAAAAAAGGAAAAAAAAGAGAATAATGTTCCAACACCCACACCAACACCACAAGAAGCCATCAACTATGAATTCTCATGACAGACCCATGTGTGTCCAAGGGGACTCTGGTCTTGTCCTCACCACTGACCCTAAGCCCCGCCTCCGATGGACCGTCGAGCTCCATGAACGTTTTGTTGATGCTGTCACTCAGCTTGGAGGACCAGACAGTACTACTTATAACCTTCCCCTTCAATTTCTTGTTTTCATGCATCCAAATTCATTAATTATGTTACATCTGCTCATTTCTTCTCTTATTTTTTCAGAGGCCACACCCAAGACTATCATGAGGGTTATGGGTGTAAAGGGTCTTACACTTTACCACCTCAAGAGCCACCTCCAGGTTTAATTTGCATACACACAATGTTTTTTTTCTTCTTCTTTTTCTTTGCTTAACTTTTACAACATTCCAATTTTCGGTTTGCCTTGACGATATTTCTTTTTCTCTCTTTTCATTAAATTCTTTTGTTTCCCTACCTGAATAGAAATTTAGGCTCGGAAAGCAACCTCACAAGGAATTCAATGATCACTCGCTTAAGGATCATGGTATGAGACGCATGACAATTCTTTCTAGGGTTCTTTACAAACTATAAGCTCTTGAATTTGGACTGCGCCTTCATTCCACAGTTCTTTTTTGAAATATCTGATCTCTGTTTATTAATTTTCATGGCAGCATCTCCACTGGATCTTCAACGAAGTAGTGCATCTTCTTCTGCCATGATCGGCCGCAGTATGAATGAGTATGTATTCGGTCTTTCTTCTTCTATTTCAAGAAAAAAATGATTTCCAAATCTTTCTTGGAATTTATCCATCCAACCAAGAAGTTTGTGTTTCTTTTTTATCTCTTTTTATCGAAAAAAAATTGCCCAAGTATTTCCTTTCATGCTTGGTTGGGGCTGGGGGATTCGAATTTTCTTGTGGAATGTATGTGAAAAACTGCATATAACAGTATTAATTGCCACATGGTTGATGCAATTAGGATGCAAATGGAGGTGCAGAGAAGACTGCATGAACAATTGGAGGTAACTAAACACACATGCAAAAAAATTATTAAAGTACCTCTTCTTTAAATGATGATAAAAGAAAGGTTTTATTTGTTTATTTCATGTATGATCTTGTGATCTTGATTTTAATTAATATATAACAGGTCCAGAAACACCTGCAGTTGAGAATTGAGGCTCAGGGAAAGTACATGCAAAGCATATTAGAAAAGGCCTGTCAAACCCTTGCTGGTGAGAACAACATGGCAGCTGCAGCGGGAAGCTACAAGGGTAATATTGGAAATCAAGGTGTCAATCCTGCTGACATGGGAGCTCTGAAAGATTTCAACTCTCCTCTCAATTTTCCATCATTTCAAGACCTTAACATATATGGAGGAGACCACCTTGATCTTCAACAGAACTTGGACAGGCCACCTCTTGATCACAGTTTCATGCCAAGCAATGACAATAACATTTGCTTGGGACCCAAGAAGAGGCCTAGTCCTTATAGTGGTAGTGGCAAGAGCCCTTTGATTTGGTCTGATGATCTCCGGCTTCAAGATTTGGGAACAGCTGCCTCATGTCTTGGACCTCAGGATGATCCCTTCAAATCGTCAGATTCAATTCAGATTGCACCACCGTCCATTGAGAGAGGCTCGGAGATGGATTCCATTTCGGACATCTACGAATCCAAGCCAATGATCCAGGGAGATGACAAGAAGTTTGACTCGGCAAATAAACTCGAAAGGCCTTCACCACGGCGAACACCACTAGGCTCAGACAGGATGAACCCCATGATCAATACCGGTGTTCGACAAGGAAGAAATTCACCGTTTGGGTGAGCTAAAAAATTAATTGATATTAAGATTTGAAGAATGAGATCGATCTAGGGTTTTGATCATGATCATGAAGTTTTTTTTTTTTTTGTTTGTCTTGTCAAAGTGGTCACGAAGGTGAGTAGGTCACATTAGGGTTCTACTAAAGTATGATAAAATGCCATGCATGGCAAACCTATAAAGTTACATTGTTAATTTTATCAGTACATTTGTAACTTAGTGTGATATCCTTGTAACTCCTTGATACTTAATTTCCAGATTTCCATGGATGTCATGGAAAATTGATCTAGACATGAATAAAACTATTACTAGCAAGGTGCAATATCCCACAATGTTGTCTCACTAATATCACTATCTCCTGTTTAATTAGATGGAGCAACCTGAAGATGTTCTCTTTCTTTATTAAGATATCTGATTGAGAAAGCAAAGTACATGCAAACAAAATTTAATTTTCCATTACTTAATTGATATATTGTTCCTTACTTGCAAGTTATATAACTTCCTACTTTTCAACTTTGATATATATATATATATATATATATATATATATCATGTCTCCCACAGGAGTAAAACTTTCATGACATGTTTCATATGCATTTCTATCTCTCACATCACCTGATAAGAGAGATAAAGAGAAATGTCTATAAAACGTGGGATAGACAAGTTTTTTTTTTGCTCACGTAGGTATTAATTTAGACATTTTCATTCAAAATTTAGACATTTTCGTTATAATGTAGGTCATTTAACAGTTGATGGGTGGTTTTCATAAGGGTTAAGAGGTGAGGACATGCACGTCTTGGAGGAATTTTGTTAAGTTTATTCTAGATCATGCAGCAGGAAGCATTCTACTATCAGTCCTGTCCTGCTGCTTTTTAAGTTAGTTGGTCCAAGTTAGTTATTGCAGACAAAGCCATTGGGATAATTAAAGAAAAATTAACAAACTATAAACCCCAATAAAGCAAAAGATCGTACGAGTATGAGCTAGCTAGGAAGGAACACATGCATAGATCACAGTAAAGAAAGAAAAAATTGATTAAAAAATAACTAGGATATGGATCGAGAGATCATCACAAGGGTTTATTTGAGTCGAGCGAGCTCCTTTTTAAAGATGAGAAAGAATTTTCTACAATAGAAGCCGACCAATAGTATCTATCTTTCAATGCTCTTTTTTCACTCTTTACTACTTCACATTCCTTGGGTGTCATACAAGGACGACAACAAGTGTACCTTTCATCTTTTTTCCCTTTGTTTTTTACTCAACAAAGATATATACATGACCTCATCCTCTTATAAAAGATAATTAATGTGTTTAACGCAATAACTAAATAATTAGGTGAGATAATGAAATGATAACAACAAATTAAGACCCAAGTGATGAAATCGTTTGAGGATTTAAGAGACTAATTAGAATTAGATCCATGCAGAGTGAGAGAGGGTTTCTCTTTGGTGTAGAAAAAGAAAGTGGTGCCACCATAGCTTTATTGGTTGCAGAGAAAATTTGGCCACTGCAAGTTGGCAGGAAAGCTCCCCCTCTGATCTCCACATAGACACAACTCGAGAGAGAGAGAGAGAGAGAGAGAGAGAGAGAGAGAGAGAGAGAGAGAGAGAGAGAAGAGGAAAAGATGATAAAGCCTAAAAGCAAGGAAGAATACAACGCACTCCCACGCGTGCAGATTTCGAGGAAGCTTCTATCTTTATGTGGGCAAAGTTAAAGCTAGCTGGGGATACTCCTTATTGCATTAAAAGCTGCTGCTGATGATGATGCATGGCTATATATATGTGTGTATAGCTAGATTGGTTAATTTATTTTTATTTAAAAAATAATAATATTTCCACATTTTGCATGCAATAATGTTATTTGGGTTCTCTTGCTATAGATTTATATGCACAGAATCATGATCAGCATATGATTATGGTAATGATATGGTGTTCAAGGCACATCCTTCCATGCAAATGCAAATCATCTGCAGTACTTTGGATTCTGTTACTTCATTTGACAACTTTGGGTCTAGTAAAGAATTTCCTGCTTCTTACAAAGTATCCTCCAGAAGCTTCTTTTGTCCTCCCCACTCCTCACACCCTTACTCTCTCTCTCTCTCTCTCTCTCTCACTCTCACACACACACACACACATATTTTGACCCCTAAAAACTAGCTCATGGAACTGGTTGTCTATGTTTTCACCCCCCACCAAAAGAGAGAGAAATAAAGAGCAAACAGAAGAAGCCATCAAAATTTCTTCCTTGCTATATATCGTCTCGATACTAATATATATACATAAAGTCTTCGATGTGAACTTCCGGATGTTATTATCGTGCAGATGTCATGTATTTTCTATTATCTCTCCTTACTTTCCTCTATGTTATAGTGGCATCCGCATAATAATAACATACAGACATCCGAATGGGAAAATAAAGAGACACCTTAAATATATGTTGTTTTGATGTTAAAGAAAAAGGGAACAAGGAGACAAAGAGACACCTTAAATTAAGCTAGTATATAGAGATGTCCACCTACAATCCCTAGTCCCTGATTCAACTTTGATATAAAAGCTATTCATTTGGTTTTTGACACACATATATGGGACTGGAACAACACTTAAATAGTAAATAATCGAAAGAACGTAGTACATGTTACCAATGGTGGAGGGAGCTAAGGCCCAGGGTGGGCATGTGCCCCCTCTCAAATCTTCATTGAGGCTATTATCTTCTTAATAAAATCATACTTTTCTTAACCAAATTTTATTTATCTCTTTGTATTTTTCTCTTATTTTCCTTTCTCACTATCATTGCTGCCCTTTCAATATCTCTTATTGCTTCGACTCTTGATTTTATAGTGATAAATTATCGTTCAAATTTTCTTTGTGAGTATTTTTTATAAAATATATTTCATTTGATTTTTTGCTAGGATCGATAATGAGTAGATAGTTAATATAACATGTAAAATAATGAAGTATAGAAATTAAAACTAGGGATTTTGTAATTAGTTTGGTTGTCACTCTAAAAAAAATTATTTCAAAATATGAGGTGCCCCCTCTGTTAAAATTTTCTAGCTCCGCCACTGCATGTTACGCACTTTAGGATGATTAACATCATACATTTCTGATATTACTATGTGATATGATGGTGCCTTTGTTAAATATGTTATTCATGTTTACCTTTCTTTTGCTTAATTTTGTTAAAAACTTTGTTGACATCAAATTTATTCGTATGAACAGAAGCTCCCTTATCATCAAAAGAAAAAAAGAGAGCTCCTTTTTAGCTATTCTGGAAACAAAGCTTCTCAGTTGTATGTATGGGCCTGTAAAAACTTGGACATGGCGGGTTTCATAACTGGGCCAATTTTGAAGGAGTCAAACTCTCTTTTCCACTTTTCTTTTATAAGTTGTTTGTTCAGTTTAAGGTATGGGCCCAAGTGTCTAAAGGTAAGAAACCCCAAGTACAATTTACTCGGGCCGACACTACAAAAAAGGGTAAACAAGACATGTGTCACCTAAGACGATAAAGAAACAAGGGTTTTTAGGTCTAATGGTCCTTAAATTTTGATCTGATTCGAATTTTGGTCTCTCAATTTTTAAAATTGTTCCCGTGGTTCTTCAACTTCACTTTCATTAGCACAAATGGTCCTGCTGTTAATTTTTTTTTATTTAATGTTAAATGCAGGGACAAAATGGTATTTTTGTAATAATTTCATGTTAATCTCCCCAAATTGAAAAGTTGGAGAACACTAAATGATTATATTATTAGTCACATCTCTCACAGTAATCTCTACTTATAAGAGATGTTATTAACGTGGTACAAATAATTTTATTATAAAAGTTTTGTGAGAAATTGCAGAATACTCCACAAAGACATTTGGACCAAAAAAACATTTCCTTTCAAGGTAGCAAATATTCTCCTAAATTCGAACCCATAAGTGATGAATTAGAATACATAACTTTTGTTTCCTACTCACACGACATATCCTTGCATTTCTATCATATGCCAAAAACTGAAATAAAAAAAGGTCGAAAAAAAAAGGCATTAGATTAGAATACAACAACATATCCCTTATTCCACCCCATGCTTGAATTTGTCATTTTAAGCTTGGTCATGACTTCAAAGCCCACTACATATTACATAATACACTTGAAGAAAAAGAAGAAAAACCCAAAATATTACATCATCAACAACGTGTACCCACCACCAATATTTTTTGTAATTAGAAACAAACTAACATCCTAATAATTAAAGCTTTAATCAGTACTTAAGAAGAGTTAATCATGGTGATTGTAGAGTACTGTCCAATATATCCGCAGGAGCAATGAAATAGTCCATGGAAAGCCCTGGTACGTTAAACACAACGTCATCAATGCTCCAAGCTTCCTCCATTCTAGTCCTTGTGTACTCCATGGACACCTCACCGCACCGAAAGACGGTGGCGATCGAACGCCCCTGATGAGCTATGAGCACACCATCCACATCTCTATAGTCTGCAATGCTGCTTCCTATGGTGGTCTCCCAATAGACGGTTTCATTTTCTGGGGTTTCAACTCTAGTGAGGTGTGAGTCCTCTAAGTATATGAGGAGGCCACTCTTTTGGCAAAAATAGCCATACAATGCATGCCTGATCACCTCTGCTGGACCCTCACTTCTCTCCATCACAGCCGCTCGATCGGCGGAAACTTTTAGTACAAAGCAATCATCCTCTCCGATTCTTTTCTCCCCCAAGCATTGTGCCTTGTCAAACAAGCTTGCTGTGCTCTTTGGGTCTAGGCCCTGCAATAAAACATAAGATATAGCTGATCAAGTTTGTGAGTGTACATGAAGGTTAAGCTTATGAATGGTGATATTGAATGGTTGATGCACATCCTCACATCCTCACCTTCTTAAATTACGTGTTTTGTAGCAAATTAACAACGATGACACAATCACTCATGCACATGTGAACGACAGATATCCACACATTTTTGCAGGTGTGACACAATCAATACTATATTAGCTAATATAATTTTGGTGCAAAAAGAAACATCTCTAAAGAAAAAGAAAAAAGAAAAGAATGAAGAAGAAGAAAGAAAGAGAGAGTAAGGAGCCATAATGCACTAGATCCGGCAGCATTAAAGTGCAAAAGAAAAAGTTAAAGCAACCAAATAATACAGAAACACTTTAGTTCAGTATGTGGTAATCCCAAGACCAAGATGTTCATATAATATGACCTTAGATGACGTCAGAACGGCAATCACGTGCCGTTCTTAGGTCCCTTTGGAGCTGTTCAAAAAAAAGAAGTCTGTAGGGTAAAGCACGAGACAGTTTCTCTATCGTTGTCAGCCACATACCATTTTATTGGGATTGTGATTTGTTCCTCAATCTCTATCTTTGTTTGGTAAAGCCCAAAAGCTAAGCTATTTGGAATAATTGAATGTTACGGTTCGTTCATGCTCTTTATAGTTCAAATTAAATCACAAAAATAAAAGAATTTTCTAAATTCTTGCATGATTATAAATTATTGTGACAAGAACGTTGTATACCTGTATGAGGCGACGCAAAGGGCGTTGAGGACCTTTGGCTGCATGAATACCGAGCCAAGGGGTGTGCCTCCAAACTGTCTTGCCGTCGCTACCGGCCACCACCTTGTTGCCCCCAACCACCAATTCCAAAGACCACATGCCAGGCAACATTTGCCAAAGAACAAAACACCCACTTTCCCCACTTCTTGTTCCTAGAGTCTTGACATTTCTTCCGGCAGAAACCTCTGTTTCACAACAAACCATCTTCACACTCCCACTTGCATACATGTTTTTGTTGCACTTCTGTTGCTTCAAGCACCCTGTGGCTGCCAAGTACTGCTGTATAATGTAATGCGCTATGGAAGTTTCCTACACAATATTTTTCAAAAACCCAACATTAATTAACTAATCAAAATATCAGTAACAAAACATGTATATAATCCAATGTGTGAGATAAATAATTGAATTTTCTTACAAATGGGATGTCCTTGATGTGAAGGAGGTGATGATCAATTGGGTCATTGGCTTGGGGAATTGGAGCAAGGGGACAGCCTAACACACCAAGCAACAGCCTTAGGTCTTGCCTTTTGGCAGGAATAGTACCACCACTTCCATATCCTGAGGTACATAAATTAGTCCCTGGATTAGGAAGCCCACCCTTCTGTGCCCTAAACCATTCACGTATGACTTCCCAAGAGCTCTCCTTCTTGCCTCCTTCTTCTTGCATTTCAGGGTCTGGGCCTTCCATGAGCGGCGTCAATGGCTGTGGACACCATATCTGCTTCTTTCTTGCCTTGGAACCCATAAATCAGTTACTTGGTTTTTGGAAGATGGAAAGAGAGAATGATCAAAATGGGGCTGAGGGTTGTGAGCTTTTTAAGAGAGGAGGAGAGTATAGGAAGGTTGGGAGAGTGAGGAGGATTGGATTGGATTATACTGTATTGTAATGGGATGAGACAAAAGGGACAGCTTATCTGTCCAACGGCAGAGAATGGTAGTAATATAATAAAACCACACTATCGCATGTTGGCCTGTCTATTACTTTATTCTTCTCCCTTTGGGTTTCTCTCTCTTGTCGTTTTATTTCTATATTCATTATTCTCTTGAGCTGCTCAGCCTCTCTTACCCAACTGAGAGGAAGAGAGAGGGGGCCTATGTGGATTGGTCTAGTCCCTTTTACATGTCTTGAGTGGTAAAAGACCCTAATACCCTTTAAAGGAAACCAAAAAGCATTGTCTCTGATTCTGTTTATTTGCTTGCTCTTGTTGCTAGCAAGTATACAGTCACTGTGTGGTATATACTTTGTACTTTTGTAGTATGAACACAATGACAGTTTTAGTTCTTGGGGTAATGTATTAGTTCTGGTGAGACATATCCATGAACATAGAGATAAACGTCCGTTTTTAACGTAGAGTCATGAGTCTCCAAAATGACTTGTCATCCATTAATAGGTTACAATAATTTATATAAGCTAATTTTCCTAATCGATATGAGACTCAAAAGATGTTCACATGATCCATACAAATTTTGAGTATCATATAAGTCCCATTCACTTGAATTAATGATATATTCGTTAAGATTATAGCATGTTGTTGATAATTATAGATAAGTCCAGTGACGAAGTATGTTTTGATTTCTTAGAAGACTAATATGACAAATTTACCACTCTTGAGGGCGATAATACAAAACTTTCAATATTTTATCAGTTATTACATGAAATGGTAGAGCTAATAAGTCACGACCACTTTAAATCGAAGTACGATTCCGCCGCTCAATAAGTTGCCTTAAAACTTAAATATTATTGGTTTGATAATTGCCTATAAAGTTTAATATATTATATTTGAGAAGGGAACACAAAGCATATGAACCACACTTATTTTGTTTCACTTTATATGAAGCATATGAATCACACTCGATGATGGGACATTTTTTTCTTGTAAATATTAGTGAATTTTACCCAAGGGTATTATGGTAAAGTGGGTTGAATGACTGCAGGCTCTGCACCCACTTCCATATAGGACAAATCTACCAAATCTTCTTTGCACATAATTAATTAATTAATTACTCTGCGCCTCTGATCAAATTAATCAAAATCAAATCCAAAAACAAGGATCTCAATCTCATCACGCCTTACTTAGCAGTACTTTAGTTTAGTACTCGGTATCTTCCTCTCCTCTTTTGATTCTCGTCCTCGGTCCAAACAATAAACGCAAAAAACTCACACTTCCCCAAATGGGCCCCACCCCCACATAATATAACACAAAATTGTACGATTTTAACCTCGAGCCCAGATGGTCAACGTGGCCGGCTGTGGAGGGTTTGATAATGATAGTGCAAAAAAGGGGGCCCACAAGGAGGGTGGGGCCGGATGTTGGTCCAAAATCCAATTAGGGAGATGGAGATGAGAGCAAGTGGCAAGTGGTGGCGATGGTGTAAGGTCGGCATCAAGGGAAATGAATGACCGATTGAGTTGAGGAGGGTGCATGAATGGTGGTGGAGCGGCGGATGGGGATTGGGGGTTTGATGATGTTGATGGGTTTTCAGGTTTGAGTGATCTTTGAAGCCAAGCTCTCTTTGTTCGTATTATATTGAGGTTCAAGTGTGGCTTTCATTGGTTGGGAGAGGCACATAATGCCCACATTGCCTTAGATCCTTCAAGCAATTGTGCACTGACACATGCGGTATGTTTCATTGTCTTTAGACTTTTGGATTTTTATCCACAACATTTCTCTCTCCTTTCTTTATTTTATTTTTAAACATAGAAACTTAATAGGTCGTTGGAAAAATTGCACCACATTGGATTGATTTGGATACATGTTTGGTCCATGAAATGTTAATGGTACTTGGGCTTGGGACTGGGACTGGCCAATGGGCATCATCACATTTGTGATTTGGATCATAGTGGGCCTACCTCTCTCATTCATTCTTGATTTCTTTATCAATCAATGTCCTTGTGAAGGCAAGCATTTGTTTCAAATTTCTATTTGTTGGTTCATCTCTTAAGAGTAGACCATCAGAAAATTAATCTTCAATTCTTGTGAGTTTGGGGTCCTGAATCTCTAAGCTTGGGGTTTTAACTTTTAGGTCCTAGGTGTTGAGACTTGAGTTTAGAATGCAGGACTTGGAATTTCCGGTTTGAAATTTAAAGTTTGTGGTCCGTGTTTTGGATTTAGATTTATAGTTTGAAATTTAAAGTTCGTGATCCATGTTTTGGATTCAGGTTTGGGACTTGCAGTTTTTAAATCATTAGGTTTTGGTCAAGAGAGTTCTAAATCATTAGGTTGAAGTAAATTTGTGCCAAAATACCCATTTGGAAATGCCCCATTCCTTACCTAGGGCATTAGGGATGAGATGAGCAATTTTGAACTATATGTGTGAACCAAAGAATAGAATGATCATAGGGAGGAGAAGAGTTGTGTCAAGTCTCTCTTCTAAAAAAAAATACCGAAGTCTTCTCAGTCAATAGACTTTCTCTCTCTGCTTCCTGAACCCTAGCCCCCCTCTCTTCTAGCGCCGCCACGGGCGCAGTGGTACCAGACCCTCCGCCCCCTGCGGCGACACACCGAC